GAGGCTGTGGTGAATTTGTTGAGAGACAGAGGAAAATCAAGATTAATTATATTCGGTAACCATATTGAGATTTCAGAATGGCCTGAATAGAAATTTCGAGTTCAAGAAATTACGATTTTCAGGTAATTTACTCGACTGTACTTCAACTTAGGGCAGAAGGTTTATTATGAGATGGTAAAGTTGCGTCATATTGTGGTATAATAAATATATATTATTTAAATCTTCTCCGTCTAATCACAATAAATTCTTATTAAATATTAAAATATTACAATAATTAACATTTAAAATATTTAAATATTTTAAATGTTAATTATTGTAATATTTTAATATTTAATAAGAATTTATTGTGATTAGACGGACAAGATTTAAATAATAAAGATTTATTGTGTTTGCAAGGAAAAAATGAATAAATCACTTTGAAGTCTACGCGTAGATTGGAGGATACTATTAAAATGGATCTGAGGAAAATGTAATTTTGGGGCATGAATTGCATTCACCTGGCTTAAGTAGGGACGAATGGGAGGCTGTAGTGGACACGATAATGGATCTTCTGGTTCTATAAAGAACGGAATTTCTTGACATAATGTTATTTTCTCCATGGAGTTTTGTAAACTAGTTAGTTGGAATCTCTGCGTACACAAAGTGAAGAGTGGATTTGGTATGTTTGAGCTCCATTTTAATAGCCACAGAACAGAGACTCAAAGACAATCAAAATTACGCCTTTGTGCTTTTAATGTGATGATTTGCCACGGTTTAGAGCAGACAGTCCACCCATTATGGAGCTCTGCTGCTAATGAAGTTCGTATATCAGTCCATTTACTTGGCATGAACAAAGGGACCACTCGGGCCTTGGGGAAATATATAGCTCATCCGAACGCAGACATGATCTTTGTGTCGCGAGTTTGAATCTCGCTCTAGACGTGAAGATTTGTCTCCTCTTCTCTTTCATTTCTGTAGCAGGCAAATTCATTGTCTCAGAATAAATTCTGAGTCGAAACCAGGGCAGAACGTTCATGTTAACCATGTTAGCCCGGTTAACACGTTGAAAGACAAAAAATGAAAAGTCTTCCGTCTTACTTTCGTGTTTTAGTGGTACTCCATATACTAGAACACAGCAGAACCCATCAGGTGGAATGCGTCGTTAGACATCTCCAGTCAGTCAGGTTCACGCAGCGAGTGTAAGCCGCGAATGGCTAGCTAACAACGCGTATGCATTTTATCTGATCAGTTCTTGTATGTTCCAATGGATCCTACCACTGAAATACGAAATTGGTACTCAAAGTTTCTTTTGTTTCTCAATGTGTTAGCTAAGGCTGACACGGTTAACACGAACACTCCGCCCCTGAGACGTGGACTGCCACCTGAACGTATCGTAGTTATTTTGTGAATGATCACACACAGAAGAAGGCAATGGCAAACCACTTCTGGATCATCTGCCAAGAACGTATATGAACAGGTCCCAGTCCGAGGAAAGGATGGAAGGATCCTGTTCATATGGACCTGTCGTCATACAGAACCCTAAATAATAATAAGATGAGGTGGTCTAGCAGTTAGAACGCTGGCCTTGTAATCCTGGGGGTCTCGGGTTCGATTCCCGGCGGTGCCCGAATTTATAACTTGTGTTGGGCAAGGCCGTGGTCTAGGCAACACGGAGGCTTCCCCGGTTTCTCCGTGGCATCCCAACAATTACTCCATTCACACACAAAAGAAGGCAATGGCAAACCACTTCGGGATCATCTGCCAAGAACGTATATGAAAAGGTCCCAGTCCGAGAAAAGGATCGAAGGATCCTGTTCATATGGACCTGTCCTCAAAATTAGCAGTTCTATCTGGGAGGCTGGAACTGATTATTGCCTTAAGATGTCCCGATTAACAACTGTACAAAACACTTCAACACCGACGTGATATTCTGAGATGTTTCAGAGTTAAATCGAAAAGCGTAAAAATACCACAAACCCGAGAAAGTTTAATATTTCTCTCTGTGTCGCTCTGAGATTCCTGCCCTGAAGTGGTATATGGGATTCTTTACTGCCATGGGAGAGTTGCCGTCAAAATAAACGCTGTTAAAACAACGAAGAGACTTAGGAATTCTTTACTGCTTGGTTAACCACGTCTGTGGCTTGCGTCCCAAATATTAATGAAAACGGTTGTTTTGATAAGATTTCTTTTTAATTCTTCTTCATCAGTTATGCACATACATTTAGACGATCTTCGTGATAAACTTTATAGAGCACGCTTGTAAATATACTCCATGCGTTCCATTTTGTTTCTTGGAGGCTGATGATATTTTGATGCAGTGGAAACGTCTTTCGCTGTTCGTATTGAAATGTTTGTACGATGTCTTTGCGACATGCAATTCCATGATGGATACTTTAAGTAACCTACAAGGCAAATTTATGCACAAATTACGGCATGACGTTGCAGTAACCGAGGAATAAAGTCACGATACTTAATCCGTTAAATCTATTATTTATCAGCAAATGCATTGCGAGGAATTTAAGAATTTTCCTGTATGTCATCAGTAGAAGACCTACATACGAGGTGCGATCGGAAAGTTTCCAGACTGTGTCAATAGAGGGCGAACCGGATGTAGTACGAGCTTCTGCCGCTAGGGGGTGCGGCCTACATTCATAGTGAATCAGTGTGCCAGCCGGCATCATCGAATTAGCATTTGTTTCTTAGTTAACGGGCGTTTTGGTAGTGCATTACACCGACCCTCCTGCGATTTCGGAATGGCGGATTTTCATGAACAAAGAGTGTGCATCAAATTTTGCCA